CTGGGACAGGAGATCACACACCGTATTATTGAGAGACAGGCTCACTGTCTCTTCCTCAGGCTGTGACAGGAGATCACACACCGTATTATTATTATTATTGAGAGACAGGCTCACTGTCTCTTCCTCAGGCTGTGACAGGAGATCACACACTGTATTATTATTATTGAGAGACAGGCTCACTGTCTGTTCATTGGGCTGGGATGGGAGATCGCACACTGAGCTGCAGCTCTATGGAAGTTCCTCCTCCCTCTCTCTCCTCCCTCCTGGTACTTCCGTCTCCGCTCTGTATTCAGCACCAACAAGGTGTTGTCCGTTGTTTGCCAAGTTGCAAGACCACAAAATTCCAAATAACATTCCTTAAGTGATTTTTGGCAGTAACATTTGGACTGTTTACAGAAGCACTGTGCACGTCCAGAGTGCAGGGGCAGCCTGCTCCGGACGCCCCAGGTCCCTGAGGACTCGGCTGTCCCCCCTTTTTTTCTGAGCTGTGGGAAGCTGGGAGGCTGACGGGGTGAGTGTGCGTACAGCGTGGCAGTGAAGTGTTTGCTTCCTGTGTAGTGAAGACGGAGTTCACGCAGGGAACACGCTGTCAGGGACAGACAGTGGACAGCAGGGGACGCTTCATCACCAGTGCACACAGGGACTCTTACAGTCAGTTGTCCTGCGTGGGGAGGACTGGGCACTGTGGAGCAGATAGACTGGGTCCACACTCGGACAGGACCATAGGGAGCTCACTGCTATGGACAGAGTGGACACCAGGAAGCCCCTGACATGAACAGACAGTGGACACCAGGAGCACACTGCCATGGACAGGGGTATATGTGCATTGTGGGCACAGCTGGGGTTGTCAAGCCCCCCCCAGTGTGTGTTCCCACTCCCAGGATCCTGTTGGTATGTGGTCTGGGTCTCACTGTTACACCAGTGAAAACAGCAGGCTGACGTGTCTAGCGGAGGAGATAAGCTGCTTGTCTTTTGCTCGGAAAAACAGGCTGGTCCCTCTGTAGCGAGGTGATCCCTGCAGTTCGGCTCCTCGTCTCTTTCATCCTTCTGTCCATCCGCCCCTCCGTTCCTGGAACGCACCCGGATGCCTGACGGACTCACCCAACCCTTTCCCCGGAGAGCTGCGTATTCACTATGGAATGCCATGGGAATCTCTTTCCCAAGCGCTGAAAAAAACGGCGCCTTTTAACTTTTTTTTTTCCGTTCCTGCAAACGCATGGCCCAGGGATTCATCTCCTCCTCCCAGAGGTCCACACTCCTGGTGGTCGACTGCAACTCCCGTGGTTCCCAAGAGTGGACTGTCCATCCAGTAGGAAGCTGTCAAAGAGCTGGGATGGAATTCTGAGCCTGGGTGACGTGCCGAAGGGTTCAGCTCCCCATGAGGGAATAGTGGTTTTTCCAATTTCCAGGGAGCAGAGGCGGTCTTTCCCTGGAATTAGTGCTACGTGACATGGGAGAGTGTGGACGTGGGGACGGCACCAGGCACCGGCCCTTGCTCACCGGAGAGAGTAACCCCGGGCGTGATATACTGCTGGCACAGCGGCGGGAGGCAGGTAGGCCGCAGCTGACGTCTCCGCGGCCCAGGCCAGGTGCTGGACAGGCCACGACCAGAATCCGCCCGGCGGTCACTGCAGACAGCGGTCAAGCCCAGTGCCCGTCCACAGGGAGGGTGACAGAGCTGCACCAGAGCCCTGGGCGTCGTCACAGACCCACACGCCTGGCTTGTGCTACAGGTACGCCTGGACAGAGCTAATCCAGAGGACCTGCAGTTCGGGACCCTGGCAGGTAAATCTCGCACGGCTGATGAGCGGAGCTTTGCTGTGTCACCTGTTTCAGGGGGCTCTGGGCGCTCCCTTCATCACAGACGAATTCTCAGCGGGCCGGCGACTGTGTGCTTGGACGAGAGCCGCATGTACAGGTGGAGGGTCTGCAGGATGTTGTTATTCCCACTGTTCGGGCCCGACTGGCCGAAATCACATGGGTGACGGTTCGAAACCCGTGTTGTCGATGCGTCGGGGGTGGGCCTGAGCTCTGCTGCAGACTGATGCCCAAATGGAGGGGCAAATAGTATCCGTTTGTTCCTCCAGGGGTCTTGTGTGTGTACTGTTTGAGAGTTGGTGTTTGAGTCTCCTCCTTCCCAGGCTTGGTGTTGTACAGTCTGTGGGGGTGTGTTACTGTCAATGCAGCGTCTTAATCTGAGAATGTCTGTGCGCGGACAGTCACTCTTGACAGACGTCAAGGCGTCTCCACAATGTAAACAAAGACTAGAAGATAAAAATAGAATGAGAGTCAATGGTAGGTCTCCACTGGAAAACGGAGTGTATTCAATTCAACTTTATTGTCATTAAACTTACACAGGTGCAAGTATAATGAAAAGTGTTTCTCATTAGTCACTCAGGTGCAGTATATAAATAGGACAGAAGATGAGACAATAGACAGTTACACAATAAGACAGTTACACAATAGCAATAATAGTAACATGTAATAACATAACATAAATAACATGTAATCAAGTAATCGAAAACTGCAAAATTCCGCAAACAGAAAATTTAACAGGACAAAAACAGTGCAAGGTAATTTTGGAACAGTGCAAAACAATAGTGTGGTTAAAAGTAGTATGGTTAATTAATATTAAATATTATTATGCCTGTTACAATTTTACTGGGCTATCTGGAATACAATGTTTGTGTGAGAATGGCTGTGTTAGGGTGGCCTCCTTGTTGTGCTTGGTGTTGTGCAATCCATGTGTTTGTGTGTCAGATCCCAGTTTGAGAACTGCTGTAAAGGCGGCCTCCTCGTCGTGCTTGGTGTCGTGCAATCTGTGTGCGTGTGTCAGATCCCTGTGTGTCAGCTGCTGTCAGTGCAGGCTCTTGTCCCTGTGCGGAACAGCTGGGCTCTGTTTGCTACAGTTCAGGTGTGACAGGTTTTGTCTCCCGGCTGTAACGATGCACAGAGCCTGTTCTGTGAAGATGAAATGTTTTCCCTGGGGGCAGCCAGGCCTTGTCATTATCATAGTGCATGTTGCATAAACTGAATTTACACAGGAGAGGAGATGAAGAATGCGGCACTGTTGCGGCGACACCCTAATGGAATGGTGGTTGTGTGTAAAAGCGAGTGGATGTACCTGTGTGAAGAGAGGAGACTTCGCTTCCCCGTGTCCCTGTCCAGTCATAATCACTGGCAAGCACACGTGGTGTGGTTGGGATTCCTCTACCACGTGCATGGGGAAAATGTTTTGAATGCACCTCTACAGATGAAGCCCCAGGTCCACGCTGTCTCCTCCCCCGCCTGCCCTGCGGGTTCTGGTGTTGACTCTCCAGAACCTCTGTCTCTCCACTTCTGGTGTCGATTCTGCAGAACCAGGTTCCTCACTTCTGCTGTCCGTTTCCCAAACATGATCCCTTTGGTTCCGGTGTCCACTCCCTGTCCACGCTGTCTCCCCGGGTTTCGGAGTCGGTTCTCCAGAAGCACTGCTTCCTCTGCTCTGGTGTCGGACGTCGGACAGTGCTGCCCTCGGCCAGATGTTTGGACGGGCAGCAGCTGGCTCCGTGCGCTGGGGGGGGGGGGAGAGAGAGATTTTGCCATCAGGCAGCAGTGACCAGTCTCTTAGTAAGAGCTGCAGAGCCGGAACAGCACCCTGTGTGCTCAAAGCGCTGTCAACAGCACAGCTGCAGCAGGATGTTTTTTCTTAAAACAAGGACATAGAGCGGAGTCGGGTCAAAAAGGTGTAATCAAGCGAGAGAAGAGCAAATAAGGGGAACAATTTGTGTCTTTCGAGGGGATGGGGGGAGAGGGGGGGCAGTGCACTGTGAACAGTATGGGAGGAGGTGGCAGATTTGTCCTGTCAGGCCCTGAAGGGAGGATTGGAGACCCCTGCTCCGGCACGCCCCCACAGGGCTGGCTGCGCTATAGCAGGGGGGCCACGGCCCGGGCCTGGATCGCACCCCTGTCTCTGCTGCTTTGCTCGGCCCGAAGCGCAGGTTTCCAGTCCCGCTGAGATCTGAATGCCCCAACCAGCTGGTTCTTGGTTCAAGTGCTCCGCGTACACTGAGGGGCCTGGCCTGCAAGGGCTCAGTCTGGACAACATCGCTGGCTACGAGCTGCTCTCCGCCCCCACTTTTGGTATTTCCAGACAGACATCAACATAATTCCCCTGAATGCCTATATATAGAAAAACAGCTCTATTTGGACGATGGAAGAAAGGCTTGCTGTCTCTGTAAGGAGGCTGGCGAGCTGCATGTTATAGCGCATCACTGACACAGGTCTCCAGCCCTCTGACGCCTGTGGGAGGCCATGGTTAGAGAAACGCTGAGCAGCAATGGACAAGGCTCTGAACCATGGAGGGGCAGGTTGCAGGTTCAAATCCAACGTAAAGCGTACATGTCCAGCTGTGTAAAAGGGTACAAAAAAAGCATGTGACTTTGGATAAAGGCAACAGTCAAATAAATGACCAAGAGCAAGACGAGGTGATGACAGAGTCAAAAGAGAGTATCTCTGACCCTGCCCATTTCTCCTCCTGAAGAGTATCTCTGACCCTGCCAGTTACTGAGCTGAGAGAGAGGCAGTGTGGTCAGTGGTTAGAGCTGAGAGAGAG